CACAATGGAGCCCACTTCTACTCAGAAATACATGGGGCTGCTATGAGTCCGAATTGACTTGATGGCAACTAGGTTGTTTTGGGTTGTCTGATTTTATTTGTAAAGTAGCCTAGGAACTAAAAATCACACTCTTCAAGGACCAGGGACCTACCGTAATTCCCCAGCAGATCAACCAGGTTTAGAGGTGTGAGATTGAAGACCCAGTTGGCAGCCAGAGTCAGCGACTCGTGAAGATCTGTGAAAAAGAATCTGTAACAACCACCACACTGAAGAGGGGGGACTTCCAGTCATTAGAGTCTGAAGTCCAACATGGAATTGTGGGTTAAGAAAAAGACTTATCTGCTCACAAGGCTTACCCTGGGTTCTGAGATTGGTCCTAGGCTGCCTGACCCAATGTATTACCTCTTGGGATTCCCAGTGGATGCTGTCATCTTCCCAGAGGCTGGATGAAGAGACCTCAATGGAGACCGCCATTTGCCAGACACGGTGCTCAACTTTATGGACCCTGGTGGCTTAGTGGTTATGTGTTGGCAAGGTCAGCAGTTCAAATGTACCAACTTCTCTTTGGAAGAAAGATGAGGCTTCCTAATCCTGTAAAGGGTTACAGAATTAGAAATTCAAAAGGGCAGTTTTATTCTGTCCCACAATGCCGCAATGAGTCGGAATCAACTCAATGGCCGTGAGTTGTTCTAAATATGATGCTCAACCCTAATGACACAAATCCAGGCTCTGCCCTTAGGAGGCCTTTATACTTTGAGAGGAGGCCTGCCATGGAACAAAGGAAGTGCAGAGTCCAAAGTTAAGAATGATGGACGAGGAATGCGTCCAGCCATGGGACTCACATGTGGACAGTGCCTCAAGTTCAGGCAGCTTGGCCCATTCCAAACCCAGAGCAGCATCAGGCTGCTCTGTCTAAGAAGGACCTACGGCAATGGAAGGGAGTGCTCCCCAAGCAGCCAGCTTCCTCAACGCAGCTCTAGCCGTGATCATAACTTCTGCTTAGACCAGTGGTTCTCCACCTTGCTAAGGCCAGGGCCTTTTCATACAGTTCCTCATGTGGTGGTGACCCCAAACCATCAAATTATTTTCATTGCTACTTCATCACTGTCATTTTGTTACTGTTATGAGTCAAGTGACCCCTGTGAAAGGGCCGCTCGACCCCCAAAGGGGTCACAACCCACAGGTTGAGAACCGCTGTCCTTGACAGTCAGCCTGACTACACAGCAGGTCGGAATCCAGTGCTTACTCTTTGAAGGGCTGGTACAGGATGACACACAGATCACGTGTTCATTTCCTGGCAGCAAGGTGCACAGTGAACCTTTCCGCATTTACTTGAATCTTAGAACCTGCCGGTAGTGCAACCCTATGAATGGAGACTGCCATATAAAGATCTAAGCCAAAGGAGTTCACCCTAAAAGAAATAGCTTTTGAGAGGGGGACCGGGACTGGGAGCAGCAGGGAGGGGAGGGGAAGTCACAGGTGTGGACTTGGGTGAAAGGAAAGATAATATCTCACAAGAGGGAGCTGGGTCAAAAACAAAATGACAGAAGCAGGGAGGTTTTATGAGTTGGAGGATTTTCATTGATGCCGATCTGCTCTGTAACCTCCACCTAATTCACACTTATCAATAAAAAAAATTCCTACTAACAGTGAGAAAAAAAATTGTGACTCAGGAAAAAGGAGGAGGAAGGGGAGGAAGGAGAAGGGACTCATTCAAATCTGTCCCAATGAAGACTGGAAACTACAAATCAAACTCCTTTACAAGTCATCCCTGTCCCTGGGTCACCGGTGAGGATGGGTAAGCACTTGACTATTAGCAGCGAGGTGGGTGGCAGTTTAAACCCACCTGAGGTGCCTGGAAAGACAGGCCTGGCGAACTATTAGAAAACCCTATGGAGCAGTTTCCCCCTGCACACCTTGGATCGCAAGAGAGGGCAACTCAGAGCCACAGCCACGGGCTAAAGGAATTCACACCACAAATCTCATTTTGGAAAGTCAGAGCCTCTGCCGCATCGATGTCAAATCAAGACTCGTGTTCTCTTGAAAGAAAACTGCCTGTTTGCAGTCTCTTGAAAGAGACTCGTGTTCTCTTGAAAGAAAACTGCCTGTGTGAATTGGGTCTCAGTTTTGTCTCTTTCTTCCAGGAATGATCCCTTGGGCTGGGTTCTGTGAAGGTGCCCAGCGTCCGACCGAATGACTGGGAGAAAGAAGGGTCCCAGGGGCAGATGGCTGAATCTGCAGCTTTTCAAATCTTGCCTTCTATGAGGAGTTGTGAGGCTGGCCAGAGGGGTCTTCCACCTTTCCTAAGCCATCCAGGGAGTGGGAAGGGTGGAAGCTACCAGATTCTGAGAGGCAAGATGGTCCAAGGCAGTCTGAGCTCCTTGCCCTCTGCCAACTTGGGGTGGAGAATACTAAGCTTGAGTACCACCTGCCTGCCCACCTATCTGAATGCTCTCTGACCCCTTCAGGGCTAGGGTTGCCCATGAGGAGGAAGTGAGGCTGTTTGGCTCACCCAGAGAAGACAGAGCTCATGCTTGCCCAGGAGCTGATGCTCTGACCATGAGAGAGTGGGCTGGGCTGGGCCTGGCCCCTTCCCTGCTGCCCCCCACCCCCACCCCCACCCCGTCTGCTTCAAGAGGGCACCCTGTCCAGCCTGCCCACTGGGCTTTGAGATCCTTAAGGGAAAGCCCCTGCCCCTCTCGGGAAGCAGCAGCCAGCACCACTTGTCTCTTCTCTCCTTCCCGCAGGCACTTCTGTTCCAAGTGCTGCCTCTTGCTGGCTCCTTCTGCTTGTGCTCAGTCCTCCTGCTGATTGGGAAGAAAGTGCACCAGTGGGGCCTTGGGGGTCTGCAACTCTTAAAGGAGCAGCTTGATTTCCGCAGGAATTCTGTTACCGAGCATATTATTTTTGTCTGTCCCTGACCAATAGACTCTCCTGAGAAAAGTGAGGCAGATCCAAAGCTAGTGTAATCACCATTCACATGTTAATTGTTGATGCACTGGTTTGCCTCTGATGCTTTTCAAGCAGATCAAGCATTAACCCTGGCGACAATCATTATAAGTAATCAAATTCAACTTGAGTGTCATTTCCTGAGGGCAGAAAAGCTGGGGAACCTTGGTCTGAGTCGGGCAGAAAACTGGGACTCCACCCATAAATTGGGCCGTTTGACCTGGGCCATCATCAAGTCATTGGGCACAGGGTACTAACAAGCTGCCAAGTGATCCAGCCTGTGGCGAAAGGCATCGTCCGTTGGTTGGTTGTCAGTGGATCCAGTGAGATTTGTTGAGGAGTCAGTGCGATGCAAAATAAAGGAAGGTTTGAGCCAAGTCTCAGTGGAGGCTGGAGGTCTAGTTTGTAGTGTCTTGTTGCTGTTCTAGAGGTGTGTGTTTCTCCATATACAGAAAACGAGAAAGACTAAATCCTGGGCCCCTCGAAGACCCACATCCTGAGTCTGGAACTGTGGCACCTTGGACAGCCAGCTCTGAATGGACTTCTCTGGTTCTTGGTTCTGCTCTGGGTAGGGGAATTGTCAAATCTCCAGTCTCTTTTTGGGGACAAAAAAAATCAATCAAACAAACAAAACCCCAACCTAAAAATCCATGTAGATATATTTACTAGGGCTTCAGGGCCAAACCTCTTGTTTTACCTTTGGGGAAACGGAGGCTCAAAGTAGTGAATGGCTCGGCTTCACACCAAGAGCCACTGACAGTCACCCCTGGAACCCTAATATCCCCAAGGCAGTTCTGGCCATAAATTTCAATAGCACTGCTGTTCCCAATAGCTCTGGGAATGAAGAAGGTCAATCAAAAGTCTGTGGCCCAGTGCACTCTTGGTCCTGACATCCCCTTCTGGGTAGCAGAAGCATGGATACTTTTCCCTGCAGGGCAGCGCCTTTGGAATTTGGCAGCCTGGCTTGGTAAAGCAGGTCCTAGGAGAGGCAGATTCTCTGGCCAAAGGTGCTTGGGGGAGCCCCGGGATCAGGTTCAGGGGCACATGCCCAGGGCTTTTCCCAGACCTCAGAGGAGGCAAGTGAAGAGTTTTCTGCCCTAAGTTAGAGCTCGCTGCTGTGATAGCAGACCTACTGGGTGCAGGCACACCCTGCCACTTGGGCATGGCAAGGCAGCCTGAGGCAGGTGCTTGGCTAACAGGGGCGCTGAAGGTGACCGCCACTGCCTTCTTGGGCCCACCAGCTTTGCTCTGCAGGCCTGAGGGGTGCTCAGGCCCCCAAAGTTTGCCAGCTTGTTTGGGCCCAAAGGCAAAGGTCCCAGCTCAGGGGTCTTGAACCTGGCAAAGGTGATCCCCTTTCCCTGAGTCCCCAGCCTTGTAGCTTTGCTTCCTCTTTCTGGTTCCAAACAATAACTCCAGAGTGGTGGCCTGTGGGGTTCCAGAGGGGTCCGCCTTCTGCATCCTGCATCCCGCTGCCCCCCCACCCCCACCCCCCCCTCTCCAGCACCTTCCGTCACCCTCCCTTGCAGTCGCCCCTGGGTCCCGCGTCCTGGCTGGGTCCCCCTCAAGGCAGCCTCGGCCACCAGCCCGTGGTGCCCCAGGGGGTCCGGAGTGGCGCCGGCGGACTAGTGGAGCCCCTGCCAGATCCGGGGATGATAACGTGCCAGCTCCGTGTCGCGGCTTCGGGCTGCCCAGGCTCCGCCCCCGTGAGTGTGTAAGTGTGTGATGCTGCCACGGCTGCCGCC